CCATTTGATAACACGGATGCTGTGTGAAGATATCGAGTATAACTCATATTTCCAGTGATTATCCACACTCCTGTTGATGGATTATACAACTCAGCACTATTCAAATACAAACCACCACCACTTCCATATCCGCCAGCAACTAAGACTTGTCCATTTGAAAGCACGGATGCTGTATGATAATATCGAGTATAACTCATATTTCCAGTAATTGTCCACACTCCTGTTGATGGATTATACAACTCAGCAGTATTTAAATACAAAACAGCACCAGTTCCATATCCGCCGGCAACTAAGACTTGTCCATTTGATAACATGGATGCTGTGTGATAAGATCGACCATAATTCATATTCCCAGTAGTCGACCACCCTATCAGCAAATGTTTATTATATTCACTTGATAAAAGATAAATATGTATCATCAATCCTAAATGGTTTACAGACATGGACGGCACTGATTAGGTTCATAGCGGATGAAAATGAAATCTCCTATTTATTGTGAACTCTTCTATGTTCTATATAAGTCAAGTGAGATTTTTTATTGTCAGACAAAATCTCTTGAGATAACATTATGCATTTTTTTACTAAATATGTCATCGTCTAGAAAAATATAAAAAGACTTTAATGCTTATGGTACTAAATATTTTGTGCTAGTGGCATACGAAAAAGATAATGCGATCGATGAAAGACTTTTTTATATCGAATATCATTACGAGAGAATTAATCTTCAAAAAAGAATCAGTTCTAATAAACACAAACAATACATACCTGGTATTGCTGTTGTGGTGGTTGTTGAAGTTGTTGATGTTGTATTCTCTAAAAACAAAAAGGTGTCATACTGGACTTTTAAAGGTTCTAGATTTGAATACCATTTTCAGAACCTTTTATGGTTCTATCTGGAATTTCGTTTTTTCTCTTTTTAACAATGGTTCTACCCGGCTAAAAGCAGTTCATACAATACCATTCGTCTACTACTGTTGATTAATTCTATGTCTGACTCCTTATTCCTATCTTTAACCCCTTATTTCTATCATTAACCCCTGATTCATATCCTTAACTTCTTATTTCTATATCTAATCCTTACTTAGAGGTGGACCATTGAACTTAACGTAAAATGAAGTTAAGTTTTCTTACTTAGCACTTAATATTAAGTATTGAGTTTTTCAACTAACATTGAATTCACTTGAAATTAAGTGGTTAAATGATAAGCGTGAGACAAATACAACTTAATTCCGATTTTTTTGTTAGAAGAAGGCTGTTTTAGGAAAATAATGATTTTCTATAAAGTTTGATCAAAGGTATTCGGAGTCGAGTGTAAGCTCCCATATGTATAGAACGAAAGAGACAAGCAGTGTCACTGATGTTATGTGACAGAACGATGGAAAAGATGACCTTCATGGAAATCGAACCCATACCTTCTGCTATCCGGGCAGATGTCCTAAGCCAATTAGACTAGAAGGCGCATCTTAATCATCGTTTAGCGTCCAAGTGATTCATCATGGACGCTAACATCGAGGAGTGCATTTCTATTCATGGATTTGCGGAATTTGTGGACTTC